GGAGGTTGATGAAGGGGAGGAAGTTGACGAAGAGGAGGATGAGGAGAGGTATGGGAACAGGAAGTCGGGTGGTCATGGTGAAATTGATGCCGCCTCCGGCAATGCAGTGAAGGAACTGGATGATGATGGAAGACAGTTGACAGAAGGACCAACTGATTTGCACGAGGAGATTCTAGAAGAGGAATTTGACGAGGAGAAGAAGGTGAACGAGCCCTTCGCTGTTCCCACTGCCGGGGCTTTCTATATGCATGATGATCGGTTTAGGGACAATGCAGGTGGCCGACACAGGTATAACTCTCGCTCTCGTTCCCTTTGCAATTTTGAGAATGTTGCCCACCGCTCATATGCATATATTTTTAAAATATTTTAACACTTTGATTTGTGCATTTTGAAGTACTAGTTATCTTGCTAAAATTATGAACAAACATAATTGAACGTATTGTTAAGAATTTAGATTGGAGTTTTGCCATTGGGAGCATCTTATGCAAGGTGTTTCATTCATTGGAACAGGATTTTTTTTTTTTTTAATTGTTGTCAACTTTCCGTAGTCTTTTTCTTAGGTAGATTTTACCTGCATAGCAAATATTTTGAGAGCCTTAAGTCCATATCGACTCCCCCTCCAAGAATGTTCAGTTTGCTATTATATGGTCTAGGAATTATGGGATTGAAATGGTGCTTTACAACTGTTTCTAAAGAAATTTGGCACTTGTCAGCAAATATAAATCCGTTGACTGCTATCTTATTTTTTCTGGTTATAAAATGATGTTTTCATTAAATAGATTAGGTTAGTGATCTTATGAAATCAATACCAGAAATCCCCCTGTTCCATACAATTTGAGCAGTTTTCTATCATTAGCCTAGACGCGGGCTACTATGAACTTTGCAGGGAGAATTCAAAATTCATTTAACGATAATAATTTTTAGAAATGCTATGATGACTTACATGTTGTCCTGTTAAAGATGGAGAAAAATTGATGTACTATGAGATGGAATTGTTTTTTCCTAGAACTAAATCCCCCCTCCCCCTATCTTATTTTTTTCTG